GAGAGCCACAACCATAGCCAACCCCATTGCTCTCTCTCTCTCTAGGACTGATCCTTGGTGATGATCACATATAAATACTGTATATATAAGAAGAGGTGGCGATCAAATTAAGCAATGAGCGGTTTAATAGGGACACGGTCTCAATATCTGTCTAATTTTCGCTTGCAACGGGAATTATCCTTATGTACGCTCTCTCTCTCTCTCTCTCTAGAAATAGTTGTTCATGTACGTCTACGGATTATAGAGATAGAAAGTGAGAAGTACTTGGTTTTATTTGCGGAAAGAAACGTACCATTTAATTGCTTGCTCCTTGCTTCGTATTAGCTTTGCAAGGTGCACGTCACATAATGGTGCGGGATAGGCGGAGTAACCAACTGCACAGTCTTGGATTAGGAGTTAAGCATTTTTTGGGGGGTTTTTCCGATAATATTTCTTTTAAGTCTTTAATATTTTGAAATTCGCCCTTCAAATAATTAATTGCTTAGGGATGCAAAAACTTAAATTGCCATATCCGCAGTTACATTTGTATGTTTATCTCTTAGGATACAAACATAAGTATTAAATATCTATATTCGATATGATATGGTTATAGATACAAATATGTAGTAAAATATCTGGATCCATTTCTAAATTATTCCAATATATGCTGATTTTTAACTCCTCAGATTAATGGATTTAAGGAAATTTTGATGCTCAAAAGATGCAATCTTAGTTTTTCAGATATAACAAAACATATATTAGTAAACTCTATTGTATTATATAAGCTATATATTTTTCAATCTTATCTAGTTTATCTTATCCTTTTTTATCCGCAACTATACAAACATAAGCTATATTTTAGTAGATTGGATATGAGTTTTTCTTATTGAGACATATTTATAGTCGTATTTATATCAACTTATAAGGACTGGGGACCTCTTGGCAGTTTCAGTAATATGAAGGACCAGTTCAAAATATTCGGTGGTTTTGTGCCCGCGACGCTTTTATTTTTGGGTCACGCGCCGTTACCCGCGAAATGCCGGCTATTTTCTTCTTCTTGTAGAGTTACACATAGTAGTCCAGCTCACCAATGAGTTAAAAGATTTTATAATTATTGATTGAAAATTTATGAACGTGATACACTGTAGATATTCATTAGATACATAAAAAGTCAACTCTTGGGAACAAAGATTTGAAACCATGCCTGTTATAAGAACCCTCTACGATTTGTGCGAGGATCCTTGTCCATAGATAACCAAATAAACCAAATTTAATCCGAAGTCAGTGCAGAATTTTTTTTTTATAGATAAAACAAATCGTTTAGTATGCATAAAATAAATACAAGAAAAAGCAACCATAAAATTAGAATAGTATAGTTAAATAATAATAATAATAATAATAATAATTAAATTTTTTTGGGGTAATAAAGCCACTAGGAATTGAATCCAATACCATTAAATTATATTAAAACATTCGAACCATCTAAATCACCCGCAATGCTCAATTCGGACTAAACTTTAAATCATAAAAGTTACTTTGAAGTTATAATTTTTAAATTTAAATATTTATTTTAAATATAATCTTATACTGTATCACATGAATTTGGATCAGTAATCTACACTTACTTTTATCAAGTTCTTCGAGTAAAAAGGTTGTAGTACTATTGATCTTGATTAGGAACCTCTTCTAAAGACTAATGATTTTAAAACAACTTCAGGAGATATATGGTATCAGAGCTTTGGGTTTGGCTTGGGGCTCGTTTGGAGGATTCTCTGAAGGATTCTTATTTGAAGAGCTAGATCAACAATATGGGTGAAGCAAGCACATCTGGATCGTCTCTCTTGAAGGCGATACAGACTCTGAGCATCAATAACACAAAGATTGATGTTCCGAAGTTTGATGGCAAGATTAATTACGTTTGATGCCCAGATTTTGGAGGAGACTCTTGAATTACAAGAGAATCCTAAAGACATGGAGGACAAGGTTTAGAAGAAGTTGAACAGAAGAGCATGTGGGGTTATTCGGTCGTGCTTGATGTTGGATTTGATTTATGATGTGATGAACGAGACATCGGCGAAGAGATTATGGAAAACACTCAATGAGAAGTATCTTACGAAGAACATTGAGAATCGACTTCACTTGAAGAAGAGATTTTATCAATTCAAGATGAAGAGGAGAGTTTCCATTAGAGAGCATGTCAATAACTTCACGAAGTTGCTCTCGGATATGGCCAATGTGGACATCGTGGTTGAGGATGAAGACAAGACGATGTTGCTATTATGTTCATTGTCGGAGGATGATTATGGTACATTTTCCCTCACTATGATCAATAGAAGAACTACTGTTAGTTACAAGGAGGTGACCTCAGCATTGGTGAATTATGAGTTGAGAAAGAGTGATGATGAACCATCCGAGAAGGCATCGGGAGAGGCATTATCAGTTCGAGGTCGTAGTCCAAACCGCCACCAATTCAACCGCTCAAAGTCAAAAAATAGAGGTGGCCATAAGAGTGTTGATAGAAATCAACGCGCCTTTTGTAAAGAAGAGGGATATTGGAAGAACGAATGCCCAAAATTGAAGGATAAAGCCAGGAAGAACAAGAGAAAAGCTGTACAAGCTCCAGAGGTGAATGTTGTCAAGGCTGTTAGTGAAAATTTAGATTTGGATTTTTTAGGCTACTCTTGCTCTACACTACCGTTAGTTTTCTATGCTGACTCTACAGAGTGGATGTTGGATTCGGGAGCTACATATCATATTTGTCCTAAGAGGGATTGGTTCTCCATCTTTGAGGAGTTAGAAAGAGGGGATGTCGTGCTTATGTGTAATGATCACGTATGCCCTATTGATGGTATTAGTACAGTCTGGATCATGATGTGTGATGGGGTGACTAGGGAACTGAAGGAAGAGAGGTTTGTTCCACAGTTGACGAAGAATATCATTTCTCTTGGGACTTTCGAGGCAGCAGGCTATCGTGTGATCTTAGAGAATACCACTTGGATACTACTAGCTTATGTTATATGATATTGGGACACACTGGTGATAAGTACCTACAGACATTGGCGAAACGTGTGCTATTGAAAGGTACAAAGACCTACAAGATGGAGCTGTGTGAGCATTGTGTACTTGGGAAGCAGACTAAAGTAAAGTTTGACACCACAATTCACAACACCCAATGTATATTAGATTATATTCACACAGATGTTTGGGGCCCTTCCAAGCACACATCACTTGGTGGGACCAACTATTTTATCACTTTTATTAATGACTAATCCAGGAGAAATTAGGTATATACCATGAAGCATAAACATTAGGTCCTAGATATTTTTGTGGAGTGGAAGAAGAAAGTGGAGCTGCAAACATATAGAAAGGTGAAGACACATCATTCAGATAATGGTGGAGAGTATAAAAGTGATCCATTTTTGTAGTTTTGTCGAGATCACGACATTGGGCGACACTTCATAGTTCGAGAGACACCGCAACAAAATAGGATGGTTGAGAGATTGAACCATACTTTGTTGGAGAAGGCGCGATGTATGATGTCACAGAATGGATTGTCGAGATCTTTTTGGGCCGAGGCATCGATTTATGTGAGCCATCTCGTGAATAGGTTGTCGTACACTGTGATACATGCGAAGCTCTATGGAGCTATGTGTTGGGACCCTAGAGGGGGGGGGGGGTGATTAGGGTCAAGAGGCTATAATTATGAAATAAAAATAAGACAAGCAAACCGCAATATTCTAATGCAATCAAAATAGAGGAGATATTGGTTAGGAATCGTTATCCTGTGACGCGCGATATGTTAACGAGGTTCGGTCCGCTGACCTACGTCCCCGTTCCCCACTCTCGAGGAGAAATCCACTACACAACCCAGTTTGAAAGCCGAACTTCGTCTACACAGCGATCCCCACACGATCTCCACACTACACAGTTGATCTCACTAGATCACACTCCCTCACAGTTGATCTATACAAGATCACACTCACAAGATAATAGAAATGGTGTAAGACTCTCTCTTTACAACGTCCCTATGGCAAAGAGAAAGGCACACTGAAGCTGGGACGTGAACACACAAAAACTCAGTGAAAATAGGTTTTGAAAATATAAGCTCTGAGAACAACGTCACTGGTTTTTTGCAAAACCTGGGACACTGAGGAAGAAGAAGAGATGGAGTTTAAATAGGAGAAAAACAGCTGTTTAAACCCATCCCTTAATCCCCCAAAATCTGGAACAAAACGTCGCTGAGATCTGTACTGAGCGGCGCCACAAAAAGGACACATTTTACCGTTTGAATAATACGGCGGTCGACCGATGGAAATTTCGGTCGACCGACGAAAAAGTTCGGTCGACCGACGAAAATTTCGGTCGACCGCTAACCAGATCAAAAACGAGAAAAATAAGCAGAGACTTCATCGGTCGACCGGTGCGGTCGACCGACAAAAAAAAAAATCGAGCTCTCGGTGACCGCATCGGTCGACCGACAAACTCTCTGCTGCCCACTGACGAATGATCATATGAACGGTCGACCGGTGCGGTCGACCGCATTCTGATACATTTCAGATAAACAATTTTTGAATCAACTAAAATATTTGGAAAATATTTATTTGACCTCTGAAAATTAGAAAACTTTGTAAAATATTTTTAATACTAAAAACAAACTGTTTGGAAAAAGAATTTTGCGGATAGGTCCTCATACTTGTGAAAAATAGTATTTTGTGAAAAACGCTTAAAAACATAAGTATGAAAACGTGTGTGTGATATCCCAATAGCTTCAAGTGAAGTCAATAACTCTTTGCCTACATTCTATCACTAGAGAGAAAAAATAAAAGATAGCTAATATCCTCATATAGAATGCAATGCTTGAGTCTTGATATAGCTTGAATTTGATGAAGCTTCTATTTGAATTTGTTGTTCTTGAAATAACGTTTGCTTCATCACTATGCCTCCTCCTCCTTTGGATATCATCGTTGTAGCGCATATTCCATCCAATCCTCCATTTGTGGCACT